CTCTCTACATACGTCATCTGGTATAATTGAAACGATTGGCTATGAACTACGTACAGGCGCATTTGATAGACATTCGTAGCACCCAATAAACGGCTCTGGGCATTCGTAAACCACACCTCAAATACGAGAAAATGAACATGTGGTTCCCAGACCACGTCTCAATGTCAATGAGACGTGGTCTGACGTTAGCCAGGTTAATGATAACCAGCATTTCACAAGAAATCACAGAAAGCATCATCAAGCAAATGAAGATTGCAAAGATGTACTCTGTGATGGCAGACGAGGCCAGAGACAGATGCACAGAGTAGCTTGCAGTCTGTGTGCGTTTTGTTACGCAAACGGACGTAGTGCGAGAGTGTTTTCTTGGGCTTTGGAAGTTACAGGGCTTTGATGCAAAGTCCACTGCAGATGAGATAGAGGCAATGTTACAGTCGCACAATTTGTGTGACCTACTGTGTGTTGCACAAGCCTATGATGGGGCATCTGTCATGAGTGGAGCAGTGGGCGGTGTCCAAGTCCGACACCCTGAAGCAGTGTATATGCACTGCTATGCACACAAACTCAACCTTGTTCTGTGCTACACATGTAAAGCTATACCTGAAGCTACCGCATTCTTTAAACTGCTGGAGAATGTGTACACATTTTTCAGCAACTCACTTGTGAACCACAAGAAGTTCATAGAAACAACTTGGATTGAGGCCATCTGAACTTGTGCAGCTCTCCACAACAAGATGGGCATGCCAGGTGAGGTCTGTCAATGCTGTCTTGAACAACCTTTCTGCCATTTTAGCGTGTCTCAGCAACATGAACACATCCATGGCCCTGGGGATCCGGTCAAAGCTCTGCAAGACAAAGACACTCAAGACAATCACATGATTGTGATGTTTTCCAAACTCTTTGGCATAACTAAAGGTCTACACCGGTACCTGCAGGGGGAAAGTTTGGACTTGGGCAAAGCAGTTCAGTACTAGACGGCAGTCCTTCAAACTTTGACAGAGCTCCGCACATACTCTGGTGGTGAAGATGTGTTCAGGAGGGCCATGGCCTTATGTGAGGCAAATGACATCCAGCTCCCTGTTGGTCCCAGGCAAAAACAAAAAAGATATGATGGTTTTGTGGTGGAGTCAGCCTGTGGGTCAACCTCCAATCTGACCACCTCAGATGAATTCAGACAACAGCTTTTTTATCCATGCCTGGACAGGATGGTAGAGGAACTCACCCATCGGTTTTCAGGTCTGGGAGAATCACTTATGTCAGGTATTAATGCTTGCAACCCAACCACTGAGACCTTTTCTCTCTGAAAAAGCCCTCAAAAGCCTTGCTTCCCATTATAAGATTCAATTGAAGCCAGAAGAACTCCTAGTGGCTAAAAGTTTCATCAATAGAAGGATGGAGAAAGAGACAGTCCCTGACACCTTCACTGTGTTCCAACTGCTTGATGAAGACATGTTTCCCACCCTGAAGGCTCTCTTCCAAGTTGCCCTGACGATTCCAGTAAGCAGCTGCAGCTGTGAACGCTCCTTCAGTGCCTTGCGCCGTCTTCATACATGGTTAAGGAACACCATGCACTGTTAAAAATTGCTGTAAATTTACGTCAAATTGCAACCCAGTCTCACGGCAGTTCGTGATATAGTCACGAAATTTAATCTATTGATTCGTGTTCATAGACACGAATTTCCCTTTTTTTTCGTGTCACTCAGCACGACTTTCAAGCCAATGTATTTCAATGGGATATATTTTCGTGCCTGCAACACGTTTTTCTTTCGAGAGCACAGTATTGTTTTTTCTCAATTCTTATTCATTTTGCAAACTTTAAGGGTACACTACCAACATTTATTCAGGAGGTTTTAATCCTTTGTTTTTATTGCTTTATTTTCGCTAGGCTAAGTTACGCAACATGAATGATGATTCGTGTCCATGAGCGCGAATTTTCTTCTTTTTGTTCGTGTCACTCAGCACGACTTTCAATCCAATGTATTTCAATATGGGACATATTTTTCGTGCCTGTAGGCTACCATGTTTTTCTCGAGAGCAGAGTATTGTTTTTTCTCAATTTTGCGAACTTTATGGGTAGCCCTACACTACCAACATTTAATCAGGAGATTTGAATCCTTGTTTTTATTGCTTTATTCGGTAGGCGACGCAACATTAATCAAATGAAGATTCGTGTCCATGGGCACGAATTTCTTTCTTTTTTTCGTGTCACTCAGCACGACTTTCAATCCTATGTATTTCAATGGGACATATTTTTCGTGCCTACACCACGTTTTTCTTTCGAGAGCACAGTATTTTTTTTCTCAATTCTTATTCATTTTGCAAACTTCAAGGGTAGCCTACACTAAGCCCTACCAACAATTAATAAGAAGATTTTAATCCTTGTTTTTATTGCTTTATATTCGGTGGGCTACGCAACATGAATCAAATGATTATTCGTGTCTAGGGGCACGAATTTCCTTCTTTTTTTTTTTCGTGTCACTCAGCACGACTTTCAATCCAATGTATTTCAATGGGACATACTTTTCGTGTCTGTGCCACGTTTTTCTTTCGAGAGGATTTTCCCCCCTCAATTTTTATTAATTTTGCAAACTTTAAGGTATACACTCGCCTACCAACAATTAATAAGAATATTTTAATCCTTGTTTTTATTGCTTTATATTCGGTAGGCTACGCAACATGAATCAAATGAACGAATTTCCTTCTTTTTTTCGTGTCACTCAGCACGACTTTCAATCCAATGTATTTCAATGGGACACACTTTTCGTGTCTGTACCACGTTTTTCTTTCGAGAGCACAGTAGGCTATTGTTTTTTCCTCACTTAATTATTTTGCCAACTTTAAGGGTTGCATTACTCAAAATTTAATCAGGAGAGTTTAATCATTGTTTTATTGCTTTATAATCGGTAGGCTACTCAAATATTGTCAACAATGGTCAGTGCTATAATAGCCCAAATATAGGCCTATAATACATATAGTAACGTAAATATATTCTTCCTGAACGGGACTGCAGAGTTACGGCTAAATGTTGCCCTTTCTTTTCGGAGAAATACCGGTTTTCCATCGGTTTGGTGTGTTAAATCTAACAGTAACTACATTTCCCACGAGCCTTATCGGCCGTTATGGTGAAGACGACAGAAAAAACTGAGGACCCTCCACCACCGATTGTCTTTTAATTATATCCTCATCTTTTTTCAACACAAACGCGAAAGTGTGCTTGATAATTCAACAATAGTATGTTATGGCCATCAGTTTTATTTGTTTCCAGCATTACCCATGATCATCAGCTTCCGTTGCTATGGAGACGGAGCCAGCCCGCTTGATTTCTCATTGCGCTCAAACCACTTTCCAGGTAAGTTGCAGGCTCATAGAGTCATACGTAACGATCACGTTTTGCTTAAATGCTATAAAAATCGATGACTTCTTTTGATGAAAATGTATTATTCACATGGTTTACAGGGTAGGGCAACAAATTAAAACCCGACGAATTAAAGGTATCCTCAATATCAGAAAGAAAAAACAAACTGTGAAATTAGGCTTGCTAAATGGCTAACGTTAGCCAACTTCAACATCAGCTAACTCTATTTATCTAGATGATGTCATTTTCTCTCGATCATCGTACACCCATAAGGTCACTGTAATGTGTCAGTAATAAAAATATTATCACTTTATCTAACGTTATAGCCTACTGTACGCTGCCTTTAACCCTGTATGGTGTTACAGACCCGTTTTCATTTTTTATCAAAATAAAAATTATACAATTAATAATTTTTTCAACCTCAGACTCATTGGCCTTGGCTCATTGTCTGTGAAGAACATATATCCGAACACATTTTCAAAGACTACACACTGTACACCCCCCCTACACACACACACTTGGATATGTGGTTTATGGGGACTCTCCATAGGTGTAATGGTTTTACAAATGTACAAACTGTATAATCTATCCCCTACACTAATCCTACCCCTAAACCTACCAATCAAAGAAAACTTTTGGCCCTTTTTGAATTTCAAAAAACACCATTTAGTATGTTTTTTTAAGCCGTTTGGTTTATGAGGACACAGACGTCCTCATAAACCATGTTTACGTTGTAATACCCATGTCATTTATACACATTTGTGTCCTCAAAAACCATATACAATAACACACACACACACTAACAGCAAGCCTTGACAGGAGGAGGACAGAGTAAAGGTACATAGGACCTAACATTTCCACACTTTTATTAGCCCGAACATCCTGTGTGTGTGTGTGTGTGTAGTGTAGTGTAGTGTAGTGTGAGTTCATGCATGTGAGAGATTGTGTGTAAGTGTGAGAGAGTGTGAGTGCAAAAGTGAGTTTTGTTTCTACCCCTGCCGTTCCCGCACAAGGTTGCAATTCTTAAATGTGATCTAACAAAGGTAAAGGGAAAGTATTAACCATATATGCTGTTTATATTGCTTGTAATTGGGATGAAGTAAACATCTGTTGAGTATTTTAACATAAATTGTTTGATTATGTTGAATTAAAAACCCAAAAATGCAGCGGGTCCACCAGACCCACGAACACTGGCTGAATAACAAAAATATGAACACCACACAAGGGTTAAATCTGGGATGACGAACACCTGGCACATGTTACGCGCCTTTTAACAGTCGCACAGGAAATAGGAACAACGTGAATCTGTATTTATAAGAAAATGGGAATCACTCACTATTATTGTACACTTTTTAAATCTTAGATCAACATAACACTAAGTTAGATAATTAACATTTTCTGTTCTCCCTGCAGATCCTGTTAAACACACCACCTGTCCGAACTTATCCTGAACCTGATTCTTAAAACACAAAGGCACTTTTAAGAGCCAACCTCTATCTCTTTTTTTTTCTATATCTCACATCCTCTCTGTTCTCAATATCTATATTTATTTCCATCTCTCTAATCTATATCTGTCTATCTCAGTCTTTATTTGTTGCTTGTTCTTTTCTCTCTGTCTGTCTTTGTCTGTCTTATTCATCTTTGTCTGTCTGTCTGTCCATATCTGACTGTTATAATGCCAGGGGGGTCTACAAAAAAGATCTGCCCCTTTTGCCAGGGCATTTTATTTTGCGCTAAAAAAATATGTTCACATTATAAAAAGGAGCAGCCTCTGAAACAGCGCCTCAAGAAAAAGCTTCAGAGGTTTGATGAGAAGCGAGAGGAATGGGTGATTGGTCACAAGAAAAACCACAACATGGCATCCATCAAGGATGAAGCCAATATCATGGTACGTACAATTTCATACATGACATTACACTGTCCATATTATCTAGGAAGTACATTCAGTGGTACCATTAAGTGAGCATGCTAGTGCAAGGTCAGAAAGACATTATTTTTTGCAAATATAGATAAAGTTGAATAATTTTTTTCAATGACCCTGTGTCATCAGAACTAATTTAAAAGTACAATTTAACTATCAATTTTAGAAGGCAGATGTAATTGTGATTTGTATTTTTATTTTTTTCTGTGAATAAGTGATTCCCTTAAGTGATCACTTATTCACAGTAATACATCACAGACCTAAATTATCTACCAGAGCAAAATTTGAACACACAGCAAACATCATTTATACTCAGGAATTCTTGAGTTCATAACAAATACAGGCATGCATTATGACAGAATTACAGGTGCAATATAATAATCAAACATTTTATTATTGAGTGGATGAGAAATAACAAATTAACTGCATTCATACTGTACTATTCATAGCAATTTACAATGTGCATGGTTAACTAAATATGTGCAGCATTCACCCATCTGGTAATGTAATCATTAACCCTTGTGCTGCATTAGGGACATTTTTGGTCTTTTGCAGTTTAATTTCTTTGACCATTTTGGCTGTTTTAATGCAAATGGTATGTAATTTGGCAAAATTGTGACTTTTTAGATAAATGTAAAAAAAATTATCCCATTTTGCAAAATATGTATAACACACTCTGTGTAGAACAAATAGTAACACTCAGCACCATAATGGACAAAAATGTCCCATTGAAACCCATTAAAACGTCGTTTAAAGCCGGGGCCATCATTAATACACGAATCATGATTTATGTAGAAACATCCTTTCATTTTGAAGCAAAAGCATTATATTTGCATTATATAGTGTATTCCACCAGATGACGTCACTACATAGGTATTCCCTATGGGTGGAAATGCATGTTATTTTCCTGGTTTCCACTAGGGGCACTATTGACTGTTATGAAGCATTTTAATGGCTCAATGATCTAAAATTATGTTTCTGAGTATGTGTGGATGTCTGAGAGCAATGTGTGTCTGCGTTGACAAAAGTGTGTGTGTGTAGGGCCTAAATATAATACATGGTGTTTAGGCGAGTGACAAATCACAATATCCTGAAGGTCATATTTTACCCTTTCTGTCTACTCTCTCTCTCTCTCTGTGTGTGTGTGTGTGTCAGTGGTGTATGATGTGTGTGTAGGCGTGTGTGTGTGTGTGTGTGTGTGTGCGTGCATTTAGCAAGAGAAAGCGCTTCTCACTGCATTGTTTTCTTTCGGTTTGATTCATGCGTATTTTACGCACAGACATGAACCTTTGACACAGCTTCGTTTTTTTTTAGCAGTCTATGTTTCAAAGTTAATTGATAATTTCTCACATACGTAGAGGCACAAACACAGCCATGCAGTCAGTCCTTAGACAATAATAACACCTTTCATCTTGCGGCAACACAAAGATATAGCTGCGAGGGATCCAAAACAAAGTCTGCCTTTGTTTTGGATTAGACTAGTTGAGAAATCATACAAGTGCGGTTGATGCAAAAGTTATAAAGCTGTGCACATCTTTGGTGCGGCAATTTCAAACTGAGCAGAAAATTCAGAGGAAAGTGGGTCTGCAGACACCCATGACAAGAGGAGGAGGGGGTGCAGTTTCTGCCCTAACAAAAAAAGAAAAATCTCCACCACCTCCTCAAAATGTGGCATTTACATCTGTAAGGAGCATGCATTGCAATTCTGCAGCTCCTGCAAATGAGCTGAAGAATGATTTTGTTTTGAAGTTTTGATATGTTTTAATAATAATAATAATAATTCATTACATTTTATATAGAGCTTTTCTCGGCACTCAAAGCGCTTTACATAGAAGGGGGAATCTCCTCAACCACCACCAATGTGCAGCTCCACCTGGATGATGCGACGGCAGCCATACTGCAAATTTGGCCAGGATGCCGGGGTTACACCCCTACTCTGAAAGACATCCTGGGACTTTTGTGACCACAGAGAGTCAGGACCTCGGTTTAACGTCTCATCCGAAGGACAGTGCTCTTTGACAGTATAGTGTCCCACTATGTTAGGACCCACACAGAGCACAGGGAGAGCACCCCCTGCTGGCCTCACTAATTTTATGTTTATAGAATTAAATTGTTTATAGAAAAAATAAAAATTCATGTTCATGGTGATCTTGTAGTTTTGCTTTCTTTCTATAGCAAATTTTGATGTGTAGTGAGACGCCTGTCTCATAATCACCTAGTAGAAATCAGGAAAATGTTTGCAGTACTATAGATGTTTGCAGTATGTCAATTATATGACAAATGGTACCAACTGGTGGAAAACAGTAAAAAGTAAATATTTTACCCCAAGGCTTGGTAATGACAGGGTATTTGAATAGAAATTATGAATTTATGATATTATGACAGTGGGTTCAAAAATGGATATTTGAATGGGTTCAAATAGGACCAAATTTGTCCTTGATTTTTTCAAAAATCTTACATATCACAAAAAAATAAAAATGCACCAAAAATAATGTTGCCGCTAATCTTTGACATATTCAAGACTGTGATAATCCAAAGCTAAAGTTTTCTCTTTGCATTTAGTGTATGGAAAATAATTACATTTTTGTGTTTTTTCCTCTTATACAAATTGATGGTATCGCCACCAAAACTGGTATTTAAAGGGTTAAAATCCTGAAATTAAATAAATATTTGGTAGTTATGATGAGGACTGATGCTGGTTAAAAGATTTAACTTGGTAAAAGTGGAAAATAATAATAATATATAATATTTTAGGCAATGTTTAATATGTGGCCATTTTTGTCCCTTAACGCACTCAACGACGTAAAAAATCTAATGCAGCACAAGGGTTAAGTTTCTGCCTTTATTTTTAATCAATCTTTAGGTTGTCATTGTCCAGTTGCACAATGGTTACATGATATTATCAACGTAGGTGCAAAACCCAAACTACTAATGTTACAAAAAGTCATATTGTACCCTCATGGTGTTAGATTCATCTTTCTGCTGTTTTAGAGTTGGTTTTTGTTGCTACTGTATGAGCCTTTCCTGTTTGCACATACTAGATTATACATAAGCTAAACTCACCATTAGGTTACAAATTTTGAATGGCAGTAACCTGGATGCTGCCATCAATAATGTTATATTCTCTTAATAATTAATATTCTTAGTTATTTTGTTGTTGTTTTTCTATTACTTTAAACAGCAAATATACAATTTTGTCATTGCAGCTGGAGAAACTCCATGCCATTGGATATAAGCCACTTCTCCTTCTTGGAAAGGAGACCAACAAAAAAACATTTAAGTGTGAAATTTTGACCCCCCGCTGCACACTCTCCGCCTATGCCAAGGACTACCTTCAGAAGATAGGTTTATTTTATGAATATCTTTGTGAAGGTGAGATGCACACACTGTATCTTAAAGTCACAGTTCACAACTTGTGTTGAGTACGCAAAATATTTTATTAATGTTTAAATCTTAAAGGAATGGCTCACCCCTAAAACTTAATTTCAGTCTCTTTTTTTTTCTGCTGCTGAATGCTTGTATGATCATAGGCTACTCTATGTGACGTCTCTACCAACACATGTAATGTAGACGCAAATCGGTAGAAAAACATAAAAAAATCACACCTGGCAATTTATTATGGGAATTGAAGTAAACAGTTTCAAAACACTAGTTTCTTGCAACTGCAGATGCTCAAACATGTACATTCTAAATGTATTAATAGCATACAGCACACTGGTCTACAGTGGGATTCTGGGATTTGGCACCCATAGTTAAGTGCATTCAAGCATATACTATCAACTTTAGAATTCTGTTTGGTATGTTTTTTTTTGTAGGAGCCATATTTAATTTCTGTTTTCAGCCCACATCCAATAATATTTTAATGTTTAGGCACACTGACCACAGCAATATTTATACGGACATACTAATTGAACACATTAAAATTTGCAAAGACCCGTTTTGGTCACTGGGTCAATGAATCGAATGATAATTAATCTATCCAGTATACAGTATACTCAATGAAACAAAATCAAGGACAGTGCTAAAATGTAGATCATTAACGAAAATAGCACAAAGAAAAAGAAAACCATCCAATGTTGGCTGGATACACTACAAATTTAGCCTCGTCTCATTGAGACATGTTCTGGGAAACACATGTTCATTTTCTCGTATTTGAGGCGTGGTTTACAAATGCCCAGAGCAATTTATTGGGTGCTACGAATGTCTATCAAATGTGCCTGTACGTAGCTCATAGCCAATCATTTCAATTATACCAGATGACATATGTAGAGCGACAGAAATTAGAGGAGGAAGAAGATGATGGGTCGGAGATTTATGTATACACAATGGTGTTCAGCGACTATTGCCGACAATATCTAAGGCTGCATCGAAAGGTAACTTTGCGTTTCCATGTTGGATCCATAGATACAAACAAACTGCTTCGGTGTGTCGCATAGACGTCATCATCGTCTTGCTGCTCCCTCCCCGTTCTGTGATTGGTCCCCTCGCTGAGGCGAAAATCTGGTCCATGGTATCCAGACTGCCTAGCAGCGTGAATAAAATCATAGTAGAATAATACATAGTTTAATAATACATCCAGTAGACTCTCAATAGTTATCCTGCAATCAAAAGTGCCTTTAAATCTGGTTGGGGAAAAATTTGGACTATATGATTCAAACAGGTACAGATCAAGCTTATGGTTAACCTCTATGTTTTAAATAAGCAAAACATAACACTTGTTTAACTTGCACAGGTTGGACCCAGGATTCCAGTGGCAATGACCAGCTGATTACGCTGCAGCTCACACCTTGTGACCCAATAGAAAACAAACAACCAGAAGAAGGCGAGCAGGCGAGCCCCACGGAGGGTCAGGCCGAGCAGGCGAGCCCCACGGAGGGTCAGGGCGAGCAGGCGAGCCCCACGGAGGGGCAAGGTAATTAGAACAAATTAAAAAAATTACAGTTTATATTTGTAAAGGCCTAAAGTGTTTGATCCATGGGTTACCTTAACTTAACTCGACTTCCAGTGTTTTTCCCCCATAGAGTTTGATGCATCTTAGGGCTCTTTTCAGCATCGACATTGCAATGTGCGCATATGAAATAGTCATAATGCAGGATGCATGATGTCAAGTAGGGGAAATGAACTCAAACACACCATGCACTTGTTGAAACAAATTAGGATTATCACAAACAGGATGAACACAAGCGAGAAAAAGAAACACTTGGAGTTAATGGAGCAACCTTAATTCAATCGCAATAAGAATACATGTACTTTACACCTATTAATACTAGGGCTGTCAAATGATTAATCGTGATTAATCACATCCAAAATAAAAGTTTGTGTTTACATAATATATGTGGGGGCACTATGTATAATTATTTTATATATATAAATACACACACATGCTTGTATATATTTAGGAAATATTTTCATGCATATACTGTATATAGATTTCTATATAATTTATATTATATATAAATATTTTATATATAAATATTTTTTTCTTAAATATACATGCATGTGTGTGTATTTATGTATATATACAAAATAATTATACACAGTGCACCCACATATATTATGTAAACACAAACTTTTATTTTGGATGCGATTAATCGTGATTAATCATTTGACAGCCCTAATTAATACATGTACTGCCACACTTGTGCGATGTTGTGATCTTCCAGTATTTTAAATAATAAGTTAAAGATTTATTTGTTATGAGTAATTTTCTTTCTCCAAACCCACAGCTGTCTTCACAGGGTCAGCCAGGGGCAAAAGGAAAAAGTCTGGTATGTAAAAAATGTTTGTAGGGCATTGGTGGTTCTGACAACTGTTACCATACCTCATTAGTCAAGCAGATTCTCTTAAGTAAATAAATAAATAAAATATAATTTAAAGGGGACCTATTATGCTAATTTCCAGTTCTATATTTTTATTCTGATACTCCACTAGAGTAGCTTTGCATGATCCTTAAAATCCTTATTTATCTTAAACTGGTCCTTTATGCAGACCCTGTCTGAAATGAGTCGTTTTAGATGGAGTATTCTATAAGCCTATGATTACTATTCTAATGAGCCTGCACGTGATGTGAAATGTGGAGGCAAATATAAACAGCGTGTTTGCACACATATTAACTGAAAGAGAGGGTGGTCTTTTCTCATATTTCAGGGGTCTCTAGACACACCAGGGACACATATTTATGTTGAAAAGACCTTACAAAGTGCATTTTGTCTAATTATTGTAAATGTTGTTTTTTCTGAGTGGATATATGACTGGACTGTAATCTTATATCCCACAGGGGGACCAAGGCATATGCCTGAAAGAAAAAGGCCACAAAAGAGTAAGTGCATGTAAATGCAATGATTTATACTTTTGCTATGCATTACAACTTTTACCCCTGTTTATTTGCTATAGTTCAATTGCTTATTTTTTAACCAATTACAACAGACAATTAGTCACAATTTTATTTATTTATTTAATCATTTAGCAAACGCTTTTATCCAAAGTGACTTACAAATAAAACAGGGCAACAATATGTAAATGTCGTGACCAGTCCAGCTAGTCCAGTGTAGCACACATGACCATGATTATTCATAATAGATATAGAATAGGAAGTGATTAATATTATTGAGATTAGTACAATTGACAACCTATAAATCCAACAGGCTTAGTTAGTCTAATTTGACCAAAATGTAGTCAAGTAGTGGAAGCAGCAGCAGTGGAGTATTCTCAGTTGTGAGCGTTAGCTTTGCAGTAGTATGGTTATTCAAGCAAGCATACCACATTGGAACTGAGAGTAAGTTAGTTCCATTATAAATTTTTTTAATTAGTGATAAACATCACTTGTCATCCTTGCAAGTCTGGTCGCTACTTAAATCTTCATAGTTGTGTTTATTTTGTTCCTAATCTAACTATCTAAGAAATATTTGAAACGTGTTTTTGATGTTCACAGATTGCTCCTACCACACTCGCCTAGAGGCTTTCCCCATCAGGAGTGTTGTAAAAGAAAGAGTGAGAAAGGTTAGACAGTCATAAAGGAACTGCAGAGTGTAGGCGGTATGCAGAGTGTAATATAGGATTTAGAAACTTCCTTGTGTGTTGACAAATACAGGTGAAACTTGAAAAAATTTGAATATCATGCAAAATTTCACTTATTTCAGTAATTCAAATTAAAAGGTGTATATATAGTATATAGAAATATATACTTATGCATGATTATACTTTTCAGAGGGCTGACATTTCTGTTTTTAAAATCCTTCTTTTTTATTGATTGTATGTAATATTCTAATTTTCTGAGATTTTGAATTTGGGGTTTTCATAAGCTGTAAGCCATAATCATCAAAATAATAACTTTTCCACAATATTCAAATTTTTCGAGTATCACCTGTGCATATTATTCATACCATAATTGTTAGGTACATAATTTTTATATGTTTAGTCTTTTTGAATTACAGTTTAGAAAGAAGAATTACAGTTTAGGAAGAAGTGTCTACTGAAAATAATGACCCATTGGATCAATTAAACTCAATGCCTAACCAGACATAATAGCCTTATGCTTAGAATTAAATTTGTTTCTTGATAGGGCAAAGCAGAAATGCTGGTTGACTGGGAGCCCTGTCCAGTATGGTATGTATGTATTTTTCTGTTCTTCTGCTTAATGAATTAATGCATTCATTATTTATTTACTTTAATAAACTCAATAATTTTTTATTTATCTGTTCTGTTTCAGATTAAACAAGCCTTTTAACAAGTGTAAAGCACACATCATTACTAGGGGTGTCACGATTCTCCAAATCCTCGATTCGATTACATTTTCGATTCTAAGGTCACGGTTCGATTCGATTCTCGATTTTTATCAATCGGCCAATCAGGATGCTCTCTGTCTTACATGCACTTCATGAGGCACACACGCAAGGTCTCTCGCTCTCTCCCTCTCTGCGGTGGACGCAATACGGTTTAGAGCACAGTTTTTTCTGTCTCGCATGTCTCTAGATTCCGGGAGATTTTAACTAATTTGCGTGCATCAGGGAGCCGCTAGCAATATGCGGGACACTCCGGGAAATTCCGCGAGACTTGGAATTGTCTGCAAATTGTGGCTTTTTTGAAGCACGAACGTGGTCAACATAACTCACTGGAAATCAGGGGCGTCACTAGGATTTTCATTTTAGGGGGGCTAAGCCCCCAATATGATTTTAAAACAAATTATAAAAAAAGGTAACACTTTAGTTTAGGATCTAAAGATCACTATTAACTATTTTCATTACGATGCAAAGGCACGGTTTTATAATAACTGTGGTCCCAAATGTGAGACTGGGCAAATTGGGGGGGTTCGGGGTCTCCCCGAGAAAATTTTGATTTCTCTGATCTACATATGTGCATTTTAAGATGTTCTGAAGGCCAAAAAACTTGGATAGTGGGCAGCTGATAATTTTTCTCTCCTCATCAGCATCACACTCTTTTTCTCTTTGTTTTTATCTTGCCCAGCTGAGCTTTGACCTATATAGGCTTTTCATTTTTGTCTGTCAGTGAAGAAAGTAAACATAGGGTCAACTGATTTTGCCTATGAATCATTTTCTCAGACGCGTTTATTTACTGAAAGCTAGTAAAGGTAATTAAGTTAATTAAATGCATTCACAATATGTAGGCTATACACATTTATTATTGATCTTATGCCTAATACAGGGCCGTAGACAGGGCTTTATAATCACAGAGGTCCTAAATTTAAGGTTGGTAGGGGGTTCACATTTTTTATTTCTCTGATGTGCATTTCAAGACGTTTGAAGACCAAAAAAAAGGATAAGAAATAGCTTTAAAACCATGTCAGTGGGCAGATTATTTGTCAATACCTGCTCTCTTCTCATCTCCATCACTCTTTCTTTTTTTCTCAGTCTCTTCATCCCTTTCTCTTCCCCTCCTAAAGCTGAGCTTTTTTAATTTACTAAAGGCTACAATTTGTATTATATTCTCAATATGTACACATTCATTATTAATCTTGTGCCTAACATGATGAAAACGGCTTTGTTAATGTTTCTTGTAAACTAATTATTACATTACATGAGTTACATGAGTGTATAGGCCTATTTTCAGTTCAAAATGGCGAAATTAGACAAAACTATATTAGTTTGCCTGATTATTTTTTGTCATTCGTTTAACATTTATGACCTAAAAAAAGTAAAATATGAAATGATAAGTTTAGCTACTTACATCTTATCTCGCACTTGACCGTACGCGTCGAGTCGCACTGTTAAAATTCGCGCTCAGCAGCGTATGTGTACATAAAGCCCGCCTACTTTGATTTGATTGGTCGTCTCTGACATTGACGAGCAGTGACAGACCAATGAGGCTCAGATGAACACACACATGAACACACACACCCTGTCCTCTGTTTCTGACGTGCTCTCTGCACGGCGCAGCTGTGGATTGAGAAGGTGCTGAATCTGATTATAACAAGACTGAAGCGAACACGAATTTGTGTAGCCTACATTAATCTCACATTTTTAGGGGGGCTTGGCAGAAGTTTAGAGGGGCTGAAGCCCCCCTAAAAAGGGCCTAGCGACGCCCCTGCTGGAAATCCAAAAAACTTCCACACCTGCAACTTCAATGAAAGAGGAGGGGGTTCAAGTTCTGCCGATGGGTCTCCTGCATCTGCAGTTGCCATGCAGGAGTTAGAGGAGGTTGACTATAGACTCGCAGCACTTAATCAACACACGTGTTTTTTTCCGCTTGGCAAGCCGATTGGACGTGACATGGGGGTGTGGCAGCATCGACGATTCCATTTTTTAAATTCGAAGTTCGAGATTGTGAATTAATTTCGATCAATTTCAATTTACAATTGAAATCGTGACACCCTTAATCATTACCTGACATGTCTTTTATAAGTACAACAGTTTTTATCCATCTATGAAGGACCACCACCATTAATGCATGCATGAAGGTGGTGGTCCTTCATAGATGGAAAATTAAACTGTTATACTTGTAAAAGTCATGGGTTACACTTTATTTCGATAGTCACTTTAGATGTTATACTAATTATAAGTACCTTTTCAACTACATGTCAACTAACTCTGATTAGAGTATTAGTATATTATAGTAGACTGTTAGGTTATGGTTAGGTGTTAGGCTTTGGGTTAGGAGAACAAGTTTACCTGTAGTCGCCAAGTTACTTATAGTCAGTTGAATGACTGTTGGGGGATCAACAAAATAAAGTGTAAGCAGATATTAAGGTGACAGTCTACTAATACTCTAATGACAGTTACTTGACATGTAGTTGAAAAGTTACTTATAGTTAGTAGAATGTCTAAAGTGGACTATCGGAATTAAGTGTTACCAAGACATGTTTGGTAATGATGTAAGTTTATTGGAAAACGCGACCAGTAACAGAAAAAAAAATCCCTTCTGTTTTTAGTGGTGAGCAGTGGGCCAATTCCTGGCAGCCAAAGGATTCTCTCCGAAATAATGAAAATAAATAAAATGTATGTTTTGAACTCCATTTTGGTTTCAGCCTATTTATTACATTGTTTCTGTGCTGCATTTGAAGTCATATCTCATCTTTCTGTAGTGAAAAGGTGAAAATCTCCAAGAATGTGACCTGGAGTTTAATCTCAAGAGGGCTGTACTAGAAATGTACTTAATCCAATTCATTTTGCTCTTCAGATGTTTTTCAAAAGCATGTTTACATATTTCCTGATTATACATTCTTCTGTTATTTTATTACAGTTGAAGCGTAACTGGATTTCGTGTTCTGTTGTCTGTGCTTTTCAAGTTCACTTAACCTCACAGTCCACTGTTAAGAAATACAGCCTTATGGCTTGATTGACATGAAGCATAAATATGGAGTTAAAAAAATAAGACTGACCTTCTTTATACTCACATTACATTATAGCTTTAATTTTTGAATTTTTTGTTCATAATTGACCAGCACAAACAAATTATAACAAATGGTAAATCTGATAAAAAAAAACAATTCATCCAAATAAAATGAATGGTTTTATATATTTCAAAAGAATAGAATAGGTGAATAGAACTGTACAGAGCAGCTTTTTGGGTGAAGTACCTGTTCCATCTGTCATATCTTGATGGCATTATCTCTCACAGACACACACACACACAACAGACACTACCACACTGTCATGAAGTGGTTGAAGCAAGGCCAAAGCAGGATCCAAATGCAGCACATTTATTTAACTAAACTTCAAACACAGAGCAGGAAACAGGACTCAGGGACAGAACAACCAACATAAAGAACTCACAAAGACTGAACTAGACACAGGGCTTAAATACACAGGCAAACAAGATAACAAGGGGGCGTGGCTAATAATAAACACCTGGGAAAGATGATCAATTAACAAGACACATGGCAAACGGAATCACATGACAGACAAGAACAAGGACACAGACACAAAACCCAAATTAACAACACTGGTTGTAAACATGAACATAAACAAGGAGCGGGAAAACTGGAACAGGACTGAACCAAATTCACAAAAATGGGAGGAGCACAAGACAGACAGGAACAAGACATGAACCCACACCGTGACACACACAGATTTAATTATAAAGATACATATCTGGATCACCATGGTTTTAGCTTCTAGAATTGAACAGTATTTGTCACTAGTAAAAAAAACAAATATTGATTTATTGTGAATGTCTTGATCTGGAGAGCATATCACAGATTTTGGAAATCTTTATTATTGGGATATTGTTTGTCCTTGCTCCTAATGATGACATATTTATAAGCAACAGTTTATTACATTAACCTGGGGCAAAACAACTATGTTGATCCACATGAAATGAAATGTCCAGACAGGCTTCTTCCATTCCATCGTGTCCTACAAAAGTAGAAGCACTTTTTACTGTAACTATAATGTATCCTTTTTAGAAAATGAAAGCATACAGAAACTCTATCTGTATGTGAGGCAATTTGATGCATTTCTTTTCATTACAGTAGTATAGTAGTGCAACAGCTACCGTACATGTATCTATTGTCACAGCACTGAGTCAAAAGTTACAGTAAGAGTGGTGTAAGGGTGGATTTCTTGCAGGGGTTCAGGCTGCAAGACTGCTGAATGACTAAAGAAATGTTATCAGCAAGATGGTAAAACTGTACATTTCTTGTCTATTCCACCCACTGCCACTTATACCAACAACGGAAATAAGTGCAGTTACAATAGCTTAATATGTGGGGGAGAGCGTTGCTATAGAGAGTGACAGTATTGTATTGCAATAGGTAGCACTTCAAAGTCAATACCAAATCAAAACTATTTAGCACATTAGTTGTACTTGAAAAGGTTTAATGACAAAATATGGTTATGGTTACACTTAAAATAGTTACAAAATAGATGTATGAGATGATGACTTATACCAATAATCTTACCCAGCCAGAGCATAAAAAGAGCAGAGCATTAAAAAAGACAGAGCAACAGTTACAGTTTTCTTTTATCCTTTCCCTGACCATGTGACTAAAACCCAAATGTGAGACATTCAAACTGACCAATCAGATAATTACACTTCCCCCATTGTTCTAAAGGTGTGACAATTCATAGACCCCCAAAGTACAAACATCTTGGCCTACAGGCCTTGATCACTATCAGACCCAGCATGTAACTCCTCTATGCCTTTGGGAACTCCAAATGGTCCTTGTGGTTAAAAGAAAGGGTGGAACACTGTAATGTTCATTTCAAATGTCTTGGATTATTTTCAATCCTACAGCAGTCTGAAGTACACCTACTGTACCTGTTTTCCTCCCTGAAGGTTCTTATGATCGAGGTGACGGTGAAGCGACTCCAGTTTGGCCGTACTCGTCGCCCAGCCTCCCTCATAGTCATACCATGGACAAGAACATGGTCTAAAGTGGCACAAATCTCATCTGAGACTGCTTGTCTCTTTCCCCTTCCCCTTTCTCCTCCACCTCTCGTCTTATCCCTTCCATCGATCTATTGAAGGTTGCGATTGCTGTGTGATCAGTTTTGACTCTTTGTGTTTCCTCCTGGGTTAGGGTTAACCCTAACCCTCCTGGGTGATTGTGTGCTAATTGAGCTGAAGCTGTGCTGAATGCTATACTAAATTACAACAATGTAGGCAATGAAAAATGTAGGGATATGTGTGTAAAGTTTTGCATGTGTCAAAACTGAGCAATAGTGTTTATAGTTTGGGGAAAAGTATGTGCTTTTTTATAAACGGTGTTATGGTTTTGAAATTTTAGTTCAAAACCATAGTTATAGTTTCAGCAATCGAGGAAAATGTAACAGGTATATACACCTTACATATACTAGATATTACTTGTTTATTTACAAGCTAGCTTGGTTGTTTGAAAATAAGAAAAAAAGACATGCATTAAAGTAATGAATTAATGATACAGTGGGATGTTAAATTAAACAAGATTCCACATATAAATAAGTTATTTAAGTTATAAGTTTTATCCAGCTATTGGCTTTTATCAACCATAAAAATATCAAATATTGTTTTTCAATAACAATGTAGGAAAAAGTAATCTTTGGAAATATTTTATTTCTTGTCTTTCTCAACAATACCACTGAAAATACACCAAATGCATATTTGTCAAACAAGCCATACGGCTGTATTTAAAAACACTGGACTGTGAGGATAAGTTCACTTGAAAAGCTCCAGCAGAACAGAGAATCAAGTCATCTGTCAACTGTAATAATATACAATATAAAGTATAATCACAACATAAAAAATGCAAGTGATCAAGAACGAGTTTTTAAATTATGGCCTAAACGTGATGATAGAGGAATGGTCATGAGGTCACCAAAGTCATCATGTGCTTAACAAGATTTCATGGGAATCTGCCCAATTAGACCAAATCAAATTTTACATTCTGGTCTAATGGTTGTGCTACAGGGAACGTCATGAGGTCAACAAAAATGACATGATTCATTGCTCAGCAAATTACAAAAATCGGTTCATAACATTTGTTGCATGCAAGTCAAAAGTTTGGCCTGAAGTTGGTGCAAGAGGAAATGTCACAGGGTCACCACAATCAAGGGGAGTCTCTCTTAAAAGGGTATGAATTCACTACCCAAATATCATGTGAGCCCAGTAATTACATCTGGTAATATCATACATGCCAAGTTGATGCCATAGAAATATACAGAGCGACCGCATAAACGGAAGTTCAAAGACAATATTCGAAAGATGGCGGCGCCCTCGTTTCTCTGGTGCGTAAGGTCTATAGGGCAAGTCCATTTCCTTCAACGCAGTCCTTCGTGCAGCTTCCATCTGGAGAAATACAGAAAAAAAAAAAAAGCAAGAATTAGAATAAGAGGGTGAATTTCAGCTGTTTTAGAACAAATAAGGTGTGTAAAGCATTAATGAAATACACAATACAAATTATTATAAACAGTAACAGGGGGTTATTCCAAAAATAGACAAATGTACATATTAATGAATAAATGACCTAAATTGTGTTTTCCTCTTCATCCTCACTGGTGTCTGGACTACTGAGGCCACTTTGACATTCCTCTTCAACATGTAGAAGGACAGAGGGCTCAGGACCTAAAGCAGTCTTGTACTGTTGGAGGACCACTTGGAACCTTTCTGACACCTCTGATAGTCTTCTTCTTAAGAGACAGCAAAGTCCCTCATTTCCCTTGTCTACGTCTCAAAATACAAAAGAGATTACATTAAAGACAAACTATACTAAGATTGTTTCATTAGACCAAAGAACTTAAATGGAGTAAAAAGATATCCCCTATTCAAATCTACAAGCAGGATGGTTGGCATTTTTATGTGTATCGCTGACATGGGACCAGGGTTGCTTCTGTATAAAACGACTTGAGGCAACATGACGGGTCACTGAGGTGACTTTATGGAGGAAGGCCCAAAGTTTTGTGCCCATGTTTGATAACTGTTAACTTAAAACAGCTTTCTTCACTACAGTTGTGCTGAATTAACGCATTGTTACTTGCTGACCAGCAAGGTTTTCTATGTTGACTGGAGGAGATAATAATATTGATGTTATGCTAACCCCATGTAACATATCAGGACACAAAGTCCAATGTTTCAAGTAACAGCCATAGTACAACAAATCTGCACATCTTTCAAGCAAATGTGAATCTTTATAGTCTTACTGACTTGTTGCAATCACGGCCGCATTAACAATAGGGCTAGGCGGGGCTAAAGCCCCGGGGCCCGAACAAGGAGGGGGCCCTTGATTGGCTGTGGAGCAGATACTACTAGCCATCTGATTGCCAAAGCCTTACCACGCAACGCCCCCAACAAATTAGCCCTGTTATTTAGTAGCGCTTTGCCGAATATTCCATGCATTATCATGGAATCATTATCATTAATATTATAGTGACCGTTCGCAAAGAAAGACCCGCCTTTTTTAGTTACTGTGTGACAAGCCAGGCGGCTCTCACGAGTCACGCACATCATGTTCTCACTCATGCAGTGAAAAAATACATCCCGGGGCTAACGTTACACAATTGACTACGAGAGAGAGTTCAGAGCAGCTTACTGTTGATA